TGTAATCATATATGTATATACATATAATTGGGTCTGGCACGCCTACTTCTGCCTGTTACCATTATACCCCGAACCCCCATTTGCAAGGTGCTTTTTTGCTATACTTGATAGAAGAAATCGGTTTATAAGCTATTTGATATTTGATATTTGATATTTGATATTTGATTTGATATTTGATATTTGATACAAAAATCGAGTGTTAATAGGAATGTCCTGTTATTGGATATGGTAATCGAAGATCGATAACAAAGTTTCTATAACGCCATAAGATATGGACATGAAATGCTTAAGTTAAGTTACACGAGAGCTCTATATGTATGTATATAGAAGTCGAAGATAAATAAAAGTAAATCCTGAAGACGATTGATATGGATATCTCCAGATATCTAGGTAATTACAACTCGAAAACATAGCAAAATGAGGCTAGGAAGCTAGATCTATTTGTATGATATGGTATCCTTGGTATCCTTGGTATCCTTGGTATCTGGCATATATCGATCCATGGCATATATCGATGTCGATAAAGAAAATATGTTCTAAAACTTGCAGCAACAGGGATGCCTTAAGCTCTGCACTAGCTCAACATTTGATATGACAAATACCGAAAGCTTTCTTTGGCTTAATGTTCTCTAGTCCAATAGCAAATGGCATTGTCCTAGAAACGGGCAGTCAACTGAGTGCGTGGGCGTGGCTTCGATGTGCTTAGGAAACGCCTCGATCTACCAAGCCGAAACTCAAGCTAAAAGAAAGCAAATCAAAGCAAAGCAAAGCAAGCACGTTTGCTCCTTGCGGATAAGCTCGCACAGAGCACCGCATAAGCATAAAGTGTTCAGATTTGCGTACAGCTTGCGGTCCAAACAAAAGCATCGATAAATAGCGATGCAACAAAAAAAATGATGAAATGAAAAAGAAAAAAGTAATCGACTTGTTTGATTTATGAGCAACTCGCAAATTGGGGGCGGTGGCAGATCGCATCATTGTGGTATAATCGTAATCAAAATAAGTAGCTGACTGCTGGCTATACCCTGCCCCAGCTCCAACCGCAGCCCCAATTCCAATCCCAATCCGCCCAGCCTCCAGCGTTAAGGGAAATTGAAATCCAACCTAATTGCGGGAAATTTACAACGCAACTTAACAGCTGACAGATTTTGGCTTTCGCTTGGGGTTTTTGTTTGCAACAGCGGCAGTGGGAGAGGGGGGGGGGGGGTGGTAGTGGCAGGGGGAGCAGCTTTTGTGAAAGGTTTTCTTTTTTTTCTACTACTTCACAGAATGCGCAAGGGGTATATTGGCTCTGCTTGTTCGTTCTGCCTGCCTGCAGGACTATGACTAGATCCAAGGAACTGTCTTTCTATACAGAATCATATATATATATAACTTATATCAACGATATTTCGATATCTAAGCAATGGAAAAAATATAAAGAATAAATATATAAGATATATAAATGTCTATATAAAAAATCTGATGTTTATCTAAAGACAGAAGGAAGCAGCCAATACTCCTTAAATAGCAGTAAAAGACAGGATATCTGGTAGTCATGTCAAAAAACAGAGTATCTGCCAGTATGAAGCTGTAAGAGACAGGGTATCTGCGCCACTTGGCACTCACATGAACGAGTATCGAGCAGTCGGTTGTGCCCGACTGCCATATTCTAAGTTTATTTTTTTACATTTTGCTTGGGAATGGGGGAGGGTATTCATAAATCTTGGCAGACGCTCATAATTCATGCAGCACTCGACGATTGGCAGGCCCGATGGGCGGAGGGATTTGTTTGGGGTTTGGGCATTTTCTTGGCAATAAGCTCAACTTGCGTTCTTACCAATGACAACGTGCCAAGCAGAGTGAAAAAGAAAACCAACCAAAAATTGGGGGTGGGGCCTTAAGGGTTAGGACAATCGTGCGCGGGCGGGGGGTTGGTTGGGGGGATGCGCCAGCTAGGTGGATGGAGTTTAGTTGAACAAACAATGCAAAAAGGCATTTCTATGCTCTGGCCGTATATCTTCCGACGGCTGACAAGTTGTTAAGTGCGCCTGGGCGTGATGACAGCTTCAAGCGGCATCCCTCCAAGTGATAGATTTCTTTATTCATGGCCAATTGTCTTGTGTTCAAGTTTTAATTGTTATTTTAATAATAAATAATAAATCATTTAATTGATTGACTTCAAATAAGGTAGATTTCATACATATCATGATATCATAAAATTCATAATAAAATCTAATCAAAATTCAATTTTATTTGAAAACCCGTTAAAAATTCATTGCGCGTTAACCAATTTTAATCAAGTTAGCGCCATCTATTGCTGTGCTCATGACTGGCGCCATCTAACGATGTGTTCATATCTGGCGCCATCTAACGTGTGTGTGCTCACGGTTAGCGCCATCTAATGAGAATGTACATATAGTTATGATTTTGAACAATAGCTGCTGCTATAAACATTGACAAGACAACGTTGCTCAACTATCGATATGTTTGGCGGAATTTTCATTAAGTCAAAGAGCTATTCGCACCACTAGTGGTAACCGTTATTGAGCTACCAGATTTTTGCATACTCATTTTGTTCGACATTTTTGTATTAAACGGGTTCTGGGCCATGTATCTGTCACTTATTATTTCAATATTGTTTAATTGTATGCGTCTGGGTCAAAGCGCCATTGACGACAATTGCCCAACGCTGACAAATGGTGACACCTTATCACAGACGCAGTTGCTGGATCGCCTCACACATGGATGCCGTTATGATCGGCTAGAACGTCCCGTTACCTACACAGAGGATGGGACACGTCTGCCTGTTGATGTGTATATGCGTGCCTACATCTATTTTGTTCAGAATTTGGAAGCACACGATTTGCAGTTCAAAATATTTGCACTACTGCAAATGCGGTACCTGGACCCCCGTCTAAATTTTCGCCACGTGGCACCCAAACGCTTGCAGCCGATTTTGGGTGAGAAGCAATTGCGCGATTCCATCTGGCTGCCACACATATTTCTGGCCAACGAGCGTGACTCTAGCATATTAGGCAAGTCATTGAATCTCCTCTAATCACTCACATCATGATGTATTTCTGTACATTTGTAGGCACCACTGAGAAGGATATATTAACATCCATATCACCGGATGGAACTGTCATTGTCTCATCGCGCATTAAGGCCACACTCTACTGTTGGCTAAATCTTAAGAAATTCCCGTTTGATGAACAGTACTGCTCCACAATCCTGGAGAGCTGGATGTACAACACATCTGAGTTGGTGTTGCATTGGGAACAAAAGCGACCCATCACATACGACCCCGCATTGCATTTAACCGAATTTCTACTGCAGCGCTCCTGGTCTAATGAAACTGTGATCAACGCGGACCTAAGCGATTTGCGCCATGGTGCCTTTGCCGGTAATTATAGTTCGCTAAGCTTCACAGTTCATTTAACGCGCGTGGTGGGCTTCTATTTGATGGACTATTTTTTGCCATCGATGCTAATTGTGGCCATATCATGGGTATCCTTTTGGTTGCAAGCGGATCAGGCGCCCCCTCGCATCACCCTGGGCACTAGTACCATGTTAACATTCATAACACTAGCCTCAGCACAAGGTAACATAATTTCATATTGCATATAACAGTTCCATAGCTAAAACATTTGCCCATGAACTCAGGCAAAACCCTACCCAAGGTCAGCTATATTAAAGTGTCGGAGGTTTGGTTTCTGGGTTGCACGATTTTCATATTTGGAAGCATGGTGGAGTTTGCATTCGTTAATAGCATTTGGCGACGCAAACACAATGTACCCATCAGGAAGCTCAATAGTCGTCACATTCTTAAGTCGACGCTGTCACCGCATTTGCTGCGTCGGCGCAGCCACGCTCGCTCACGTTCCTTTTCGGGCATTCTACGACAGATGGACAGCAGTTCGCTGGGCAGCAACCAACCGTTCAACAACTATTTGACTGTGAATTTGCCTATCACAACCATAACAGAGGGCCAAGTCATGAGTCAGCAAAAAGATGCAAAGCGCAAAGGCAGCCTCGGTATGCTGAACAGCAACACCAATAATCGGAAGCTCGATGTGAATTTTGTGGAAAGTGCTTTGGGTGCCGCTGCTTCGACGGCAACTGCTTCGGTTTCTAATGCAGTCAGCATGGAGCTCCCCGATTTTAGCAGCAATAATAATTTATTGGGGGAGGACTTTAGTCATGAGGAACAGATTGCTTCTACTGGCTGGACAACGCTTACACCGCAAGAAATTGCAATATGGATTGATAACCGTGCGCGTTTTATATTTCCCCTTGCATTTTTAGTATTCAATTTGTTTTTTTGGTCATTCGTTTATTGTATTTAAAGCGCTGTGTCGTTATTTTTTTTTAAACACTGTATTGTATGTTTTTTAACCATTGTTCATATTTATGTTCGTTGTATTACATTGAGCATATTTCAAATTCAAATGACGCGCTCTAATTCTGCAACACTGAGCCCCAGTGTTGGTTAACTATAAATGTCTTTTTATTCGTTCTGTGAACAGAGACGGCATCTTGTTGGTCAATAGTGTAATGCTGTATGTGTAAGAGCAGTATCGCTATAGTGTTGGTTGGCTTAATTTTTTTTTCCAACACATATAAGCGTACACACACAACTAAACAATAACATCGGGGGCCCCAAAAACGCTCGTTCGCTCGCGACCGACGAAGACGGACGAAAAACCTTCGTCGTGTGAATGGTAAATGAAAAAAAAAGAAAAAAACTATAGTGCAATTTTAACCCTACGCCAAAATAAAAAGAAGAAAAAAACTACATAGAAATTAAGCAACAAAAACATCGCAAGCGAGTGCAAGTGGCAAACATAAACAACAGCAAGAACAAGAACTAAACAAACGCAGATCGCTGTTTCTGTGTGCGTGCGTTAACGTGTGTGTGTTTCTAAGCGTATGTGCGTTACATTGTGTTGTTATTGCATTGGTTAAAAAAAGAACACAAGGCAATTAAAGCTTTTCGGATATGTGTAAATGCTAACCGGTAAAGTTAGCCGATTCTACTCCCCTTGCCGCTACATGCGCATCGCCAAACAAAAACAACAGCAGCAGACGCCGCATCAGCAGCAGCAGCAGCAGAAACAATAACAATACCGCAAGACGCAGCAAGCACGTTGTCCTGCCCCTGCCGCCAAACTGGAGCAGAGCCATGGACACCATTTGTAGGCTGTGTTTTCAGACAGCAACGGTAAGTGCAAGAAACAGTTCAAAGCATAACTAATATATTCACTTATACTCATACAATAATATGTATGTGTATATTTAGTTGGCGGGCGCAACAAGCAACGCACTTTTTATGTGTTGTATTTTGTTATTTCTATTGATTTTTTGTCTCTTTTTGTTTTGTGCAGTAGGGGGGGGAAAACGATAAAAATTGAATTTGTGCGCGGATTTTGCACTGCTGCTGCCGCTGCTGTTTCTTTTTGTTGCTGTTAATGCTAGTGCTGCTTCTGCTGCACCGTCGTCGGTAATTGGGTGGGGGTTGAAAAGCGCGCGCAGAACACGGTGCGACCCTAAAGGCAAAAGTTTGGCTCGCGCACACGCACACATACTTATGTATATGTATCTATGCATGTATATACACCGTATGTGTGCGTTGCTTTGTTGCCTCCCTGCCCTTCCTGCCCCCAACTATTGCGGTCGTTTATTTTTAGCCAACTCAGCCAAAGTTGCTCAAGCCGCCAACTTGAAAACAAAATAAAATAAAATAAATATAAAAAAATTATATATACATACGTATATATGTATATCGAAAAAAAAATATTTTTACATTTCGTTGCTTTTCATTTCGACTCCTTTTCAACAAGAGCACAAAACGAAATAATATGAAATAAAACAAAATGACAAAAATTCCGCTAAGATGCCAGCGGCGTGCGCTGCAAGGGGTACAAGTTCATCGTTCAGGCGCAGAAGTCCGAACTCATCACGACCAAAGCCTAGCTTCAAGGTGCTGTACAAGGCAACGTGCATTTGTGCACACATACAAATACACATAAACAAACAAATTGAAGATCGGCGGCAGCAATTGTTGCTGTGTGCGTAGCTTTCTGACGTCACATTGGTGATACCCCGTGCAACGACGCCACTGTACGCTCGCAGCAAAACAAAACAAAAACGAAAGAATAACAACGCTGTAGTGGGGAAAAAAAACATGAAATGAAAACAACAAACCAACGCTGTCGTCAGTGTATGTATGTATGTATGCATGTATGTTGTCGTTGTTATTATTGTTTGGTGCTGGCATTTCGGGGCGCACGTGTGTGTGTGTATGTAATACATTGATATAAATACATATATACTGGAGTATTATATATATATATATATATACATATATATATATATATATATATATATATATGTGTGTGTATACATTTGGGTGCGAGAAGCTCCTTGGTTGTTATTATTAGGAGATGACGATGGAGGGGGAGCCGTGGAGTCTGTCTCAAAAAAAAAACAAGCTTTATGTATCATATTTTTTTTAGATTTTGTTACCAACAGACTTTCTTTTTTTTGTTTCCAAACGTACACGCCAATTGGAGTCTCATTTGTAATGATCTCTTTTCTATCTCATTTTCTCTCTCTTTGCTCTAATTACAGTTATTCCAAGTGCCCGGCTATAGCATACCCACGTGCGTACGCTGCTCAGAACAGTTGACAAACAATTCGAACTTCCATCAAGCGGTGCGCGTTCAAGACGGTGCTGCAGCTTCTGTAGCGGCCGCTGCGGTAGCCGCTGCCGCTGCCGCATCAACAGTGGCCAGTGATAGCGACGCGGTGGCGGCACAGCTGACAAACGGCAGCGCTGTAGCTGCTGTGCTGCAGTTGCAGCAACAACAGCAGCAACAACAGCAGCAGCAGCAGCAGCAACAACAGCAACAACAACAACAATTGCAATCATCAAGTTCTTCCGAGAATCTACAATCGCAGGACGATTCTGAAGATGTAAGTGTAAGCGGATGAGTGAGAGTGAATAAAACAGAGAACGTGAGCTAATAGAATTTTACAGCGGAAACAGTGTTGAATAACGGCACAGACACGCACATACACACACGCAAAATAACCGCAATGTTCCTGGAGTTGCACTTGTCCATTGCCGTCTTGTTGGTTTTTTATTCCCCTACACTGTAGATAACACTGTCAGGGAATACATGTATATGTATAACTATACACATCCATGTATGTTTTTAAATATATACATATGTATGTATATATGTACATATGTACATTCATAGTTCGTTTCCTTCTTCTTTTGCTTGCTTGCTTCTTTATGCTTTGCTTGTGCCTTTGCCTTTCTTTTTCACACCGCTGCAATGAGAATATTGGCAACAGCAGCAACAACAACATCAACAGAGAATGCCCTACATATTTTCTGTATGAGTATTCGGGTATAACAAGTGAATACACGACATAGTACTGTAAACAAATTGTATAAACATTGATATGAGCTTGGCTTTGTTTTATTTTTATAAGTAAAAAATTATAGATATGTGTCATTGAAGTTTCTGTTAAATCGTTTTCTAAAGTGTTGATCACGACATTTTTGTTGGTTTCAAGAACTACACATGTGAATGCAGGGTATGCGCACTTCGCCTTCATTGACTCTTTTTGCCCATTTTCTTCTTTTTTTTGTGTTGCCTTTATTTTTATTTTGTTTTGTTTTTTTCTTTTTCTTTTTTATTTTCATTAATATCTGCGCTGTTTGCTTGCCTTTTTCTTGCTTTGCTTTTCACGACGGCAGCAGCAGCAGAAACAACAACGACAGCAACGTCAGAAGCAACTGCGACGCCGACGTCGACTGCACGACGTTTTTGTGCGCTGTGTAAAGCGAAAAAAATTCATTTTCAGTTGACGCTTTTGTGTGGGTGTGCGTGGCACGCAAAAAAAAAGCAATACACAATTTAGAAAAAATTAATACATTTGCAATAAACAAATACTTCACAAGTCGCAAGAAATTTGCGCATAGAATTTAATTTGCAACCATTTTGACCGCCAGCTTGTTGAGCGTAAGTTAGTTCTGTTTGTGTGTGCGTGTGTCACTGTGCGTGTGCGTGAGTGTGACACTTGCAATTAGCAAAGCTTCAAAGCTCTCAAAACAAAATGCAACTCTAACCGTCTCGTTTCCGCTCTCGCCTGGCTCTCATTTAACGCAGGTGGATCTGATATTCAACGAGGAGGGCTCTTGCCCGCTGTGCAACAAAACCTTCTCGCGTAAATCCTCGCTCATGACGCACATACGCAATCATTCGGCTGAGCGCAAGTTTGTGTGCAACTACTGCCACAAAGGTAAGTACAAAAGCAATACCAATTAAAGCTGTGCGCAAAGCTTTATTTAAATCAAAACATCCGGTGTCCAGTCAATAAAGAAATCAAATCATGAGAAATTATTAATCGATTAAGAAAATATTGTAACAAATATATTTAAATAAATATTACATATGTGTATACAGTAATCATAAAGTGTACATTTTAAAGTTTAAAATTTTTAAATAAAAATGTTTGCCAATAAGAACGTTTAAATGTTTTTAGACTAAATAAATTCTATCACACTGTTTAATATGCTGAGCAAACAGCAATCGGAACCTTTGACGAGCGAGCGCTTTCTACATATTACTGTATATACTGAAGAACAGCAAGAAAAGCGATAATATTTTTATCTATCTCTCTCTCTTTCTGTTTCTTTCTCTCCCGCTCTCTTCCTGTAGGCTTCACGCAAGCCGCCAATTTGCGCAATCACGAACGCATACACACAAATGATCGGCCGTATCAATGCGTGGACTGCGGCAAGACCTTCACTCAAATCACAAACCTTAATAATCATCGACGCCTCCACACCGGTGAACGACCTTTTGTATGCAATGAGCCCGAATGTGGACGCAGCTTTGCTCAGGTAAGTAGCTCTTCGCACTTATCGTGTCAGTATTTAACAGTGTTTACTTTTGCAGGTGACCAATCTGAACAATCACATGAAGTCGCATCACAAAGTGCAACAGTATTGCTGCAATGTGTGCAGCAAGAAATTCACGCAGGTCACCTCATTAAATCAACATCTGCAGGCGCATGCCGGCGTCACTGGCTACTATTGTCCGCGGTGTCCAGAGAAGAACTTCAAGCTGCAATCGCAGCTGCATACGCACATGAAGACGCACGGTCTGGCCTTTCCGTATGAGTGCAGTAAATGCGATGAAAAATTTCTGCAGCAATCGCATCTGGATCAACATCTCAAGATGCATGACGAGTTCAAATTTAAATGCGATATATGCCCCAGCAGCTTTAATCAGGAATCGTTGCTCAAGAAGCATGTGCAACGCCATGTGGAGGGTCGCTATCTAAACTGCCCGGTGGCAAATTGTGCCGAATCCTTCGCGGTGCGACAGCATCTATCAAAACATTTGCTCACCAATCACTCGCATCACGAGCTGCCGCCCCCGAAACGCTCCAAGAAGACGATCACTTTGCAGTCGCCCCAACAGCCGCTGGCGATGATCGGGCAACCTCTATCACTGCAGCATACGACGGGACAGCGTAAGTGCAATTAGCGTAGCAAATCAAGCATTTAAATACCCTGTAAATAGTTGTAAATGATTAAGAAAGGCCATGCATACGCTCTAAAAGCATCAGTTAATATTGATTTTCTCTTCGCGTGCTTGTCCAAATATTTAATATGCAAATATTTGTATGAATATATATGTTTAGTACATAATCCAATTATATTTTAAACTTTTTGCAGGTGGCAGACCGCCCAAAAACAAGAATAAGACCTCACTGGCAGCCACGGCTATTAAAATAGAGATCAATGAGCCGTTGCATAGCCAACACATCATCAGCAGTGCTAGCGGCCTTTCCATACACCAGCAAATCAATCAACATATGCAACAACAACAACAGCAGCAACAGCAACAGCAGCAACAGCAACAACAACAGCAGCAGCAGCACCTTCATCTGCCCATGGGTCAGGCAGTCAAGGCGCGCTTCATACCCACTAAATAGAAATTAGTTAGACGCGGCGTGCGTGAGAGAGATAAAGAGAGAAGAAAGAAAACGAAAGAGTGAGTCAGTGAGAGAGAGAAAGAAAAAAATACCGATATGGTTGGCTACTCAGTGGCGTTTTCGATCGTTCTGGCGTGGCTTCACGCCCTCCCCCTGCCCCTTAACCCCAAGTCAACACTAGCAATAGTTAAAAAAACAAGTTTTGAACAAAATGCATCACATATCCTTCAGCACATACATAGACATACAAATATACACGCAAGCATGCAATACATAAACAATATGCAAATTACGTTAGCCGATAACCGATAAATAATAGAGAAAAGCAATCCGATAACCAAGTTAATTAATTGCACAAGTGATGGCACCCCCGCACACACAGACGCCATCTGGCGGCGGCGGCGCGCATCGGCTGAGGCTGCTGGTTCGGTTTAGTCGGCTCCTCGCGCATGACGTGACGGACGCCGCAGCTTTTGTGCCCATTGCGGCTGTCAGCTGGACGCCTGCGCCTAGCGCATGTTCCGTCACTTAAACAAAACCAAAAAAAATAACAAGAATTAAAGCAATATATAAACAGCTTTTAAGCAAACAAAAAAACTTCAATAAATTTATACATATATACATACATCAATACATCATCCTGCAGCAGAGTTCATAGGGCAGTACCAGGCGAGCGGAGACGTAACGTATTGTCGCACGCATCGTCACGTCACATAACGTAACGTAACGTTAAGTAACAACAAACAACTGTAACTTAAATCGAATTAAAATCTAACAATTAAGTGTAAAGATGTAACAAGCACAGCAAAACAAAACAAAAGTGCATAAACAAATTCGAATTGAAAAGAAAACAAAAAAAAAAAAACAAAGAAAAACGAAAAATACTTACAATTGCAAGTAATTATATAAATAAATCCATTTAATTTGATATGTATTTTAAGCAATTAGTTTAAGTGTTTTTATTTTTTTTTTTTTTAATAAAACTTAAAGAAAGTATGATAAGTCAGCTAAGTGTTTGATTCTATATGCAAAAGAAAATTAATGGAAATAGTTCAATTCAATTCAAGAATTTTGAAATGGTCATAATTTTAAGTCCTCGTAGGCTGATTTTTCTTTATTTTTTAAAGTACTTATTTTTTTTATTTATTTATAATTTTTTTTTCTTAATTTCAGTTTTATTTTTTTCCCTATTTTTATTTCTTAAAAACAATTTTTTCACATATTTTAAAAAGGCTTTTACAGACTTAGTTTCTTGGAAACTCCATAATGTAATTATTTTAATTTTTTTTTGTTATGTTTTTAAAGTTACGCAACATTTTTGAAGTACTTGAGCCCTCGAAGAGGGACGTATCTACTGGTTGAAATTTTTTATTACACAATAAGAATAAATTAGAATCGCCGCATTAGATTACATAACTTTCATAGGAACAATCAGTTCTATGGGAGACTTGTTGCCTAATATAGCTACAATTTTAGCTATACATTTATATATAAATAAGAATGAGAGAAAAACAAAAATTGATGTATAAATATCATTTGGTGTAAGCTAAATTTGATCCGCTTCATTCTTCTATGTTATATTTATATATATATATATATTTCTTTGTTTGCTCTTATTTATAATATATCTTTTGTAGCAAAAATTGTAGCTTAATTGTGAGTCGTGGACTCCTATATGCCATTTATCAGATGCATTCTTATGCTAAATTTATATAAATAAATCTAAGACAGTCAATAGAGAGATAAAATAGCTAAGACTAGCTGGTCTGCAGGCTAGCCAGGCGTACATCGAACTCCTCCTTGTGCTCGTTCTTCAGATAGCGCCGCATGCCAAGCAACAGATATCGCAGCTTCGGTGTACCCAGCACGTCCAAGAGCAGCACCATCAGCACCTCGAAACAATCATCACCGCCTGTTTTGTATGCCAGCAGCGCCTTGCCGAAGCTGCGAAACTTATCGCTGTCCACGACGCTCCGCACCTATAAAGAGAAAAGATGTGAGTTGAATCTCTCAAAAGCTTTAAATTGTGCAGAGACAAACCTCACGCAGAAAATCTGCTCGTGATTCAGGCGCTTCCTTAAGCGGGGACTCAGCTGGTTTTGTAGAGCAACAGTTACTGCTACTGCTGCTGCTATTACTACTGCTGTTGATGTGACTGGTGCTGGTGCCTGGTTCCATCTTGATCATATCATTGCTGATGAGTTTGTAGCGTTTTTTACCACTCGTCAACGTTTCGTTGGCTGTGGGTGAGCTACGCTCGCGTTTGTGTATCTTCACTAGATCGGTGCTATTGAAGTCGATACTCTGTGTAGGTCAAGCAAAGTCGATTTAAGGCCCAATAAATAATATGGTTTTATAGTGTAATCTACCGTCACATTGCCATTCAGTCGACTCATAAAGTCCATGGCATTGGGCGCTGTTTGTTTCTGAGTGGTGCATCCAGCTGCGTTGACATAATCCGCTGGCGTCCAGCTCTTAATGGAGTTGGCCATTTCCGCTTTGCTGCAAGCAACAACAGCAATTAAGATACCTCGGCAGAATTTTTTACTCCGGACTTACGCTGCTAGTTCGCTGGCCAGCTGAAATTTGTTGCCTCCAGAGCCAGGCTCACGCTTGATTTGGCTATTGCCGTTGAAGCTGGGCGCCAGCGTTGGCTGCTCCTCCTTGCACACGTTCTCCAGCAGCGGCTCAACGACGCGCTCCTCAGGCTGCACCATCTGTTGGCATCAAAATTACATTTATTATTATATATAAAGCCTGGCTTAAAGATCTATTATGGCGCTAACCGTTTGCTCAGCATGCTTGAAGAATTGCCGCAGTTCGCGCACAATGGGACCAAATGGCGAGGATTGGGGACGTGCACCCAAATGGCCACGGATCCATTTGGAGAGCTGCTGCACCTGCGATGCATCCTGGAAGCGTGCATCACACAGTAGAATTGCACCGTAGTCGTGACGATGCCGAATGACACGTCCAATCGCCTGATTAACAGCGCGTGTCGCATCTAGATTATACCATTCCTGGCCGCTGAGCAGCTGGTTCTCTTTGGTGCGATTCGTTTCCAGATAGCGACGCTTCAATATCACTTTGGGATCCTTTAAGGGCGGGAAGGGCAAGCCGGTTATGATCACAGCACGTCCATTGCGGTCGGCAAAGTCCAAGCCCTCGGATACCTTACCGCGACACACGGCCATAAAGCAGGCGCCCTTCGAGTCGCGTATCGCTTGATAGAACTCCTCCATGGTGCTGGTAAATTGATCCTTGCCGCGTGGCTCCAAAAATATGGGCTTACGACTCGACAAATCCGCCCACAAGCCGCTCGCCTGCCAAGCGTCCACGCACTGATTTAACATTGGATATGACGGGAAGAATACCAACAAGCCATCCGGCACAATTCGAGAAACATTCAAAATCGTCTGACCCAGCGAGCTGATGTACTTTGGATTGTCGCTAAGAATAAGTGGATGACAATATTTGTTAATGACTTCAAATATAATGGTGGTAAAAATAGATATATATAGCGTATAGTATATATAGCTTGTGCGGCTTCTATAGCTATTGCTTATCTTATCTTAAAGCTTATATCTAACGTTGGGAACGTGTTCAAAGATATATATTCTCTTTAGACAAGCCTCTAATCAGGATTGCAATTCTCTTAGCGCCTACTGACGGTAAAGAATGGGCAGGAGATATTTCCATTACAATTTAGATAAGAATTAGAATTAGAGGAAGCCTTAGTTCAAACAGCTCTACAAAGATATAGATAGATATAAACATAAACCTATTAGCTATTAGGGTTACCATTAACTTCTGAATTGTTATCATTGATCTCTTTACTTTTTTATTACCTATTGGTTATTTTCGTTAACATGTCAGGTTTTTTCATTAGGATAGCTATGTCACAGACCGATCAGCTTTGGGAATTAATCAATTAGCTATTTGATTAAGCCTCTCATGAAATTTCATTAGTCTATTACTTTATCCATTAGCATCACAGCATCATTAGCCTTATGAAGCTCTTAACTCAGTGATTTTAAAATATTTTGATCTACGTTTTTCTCGCTCTTAATTTCTCCCCAGCTTGAACCAGTTGACAATTTAGAACGAGCTTTTTATCTATGTCTCTTGATCTTATCTCCAACTCCTCTGAAGCACTACTTAGTTTCGCGTACTAACCGATTCTTATAGTTGGATATGAGCTGCTCCCGATCTGGACCAGTGCCAATGATCTTCACATAGACCTGCGACTTATCAACAATGTGCGGATTCTCCAGATGCTGGGCCACAGGTATGGCTAGCTCGGCAATAAGCGGCTTCAGCGGCGCCAATGTGCCGCTGGTGAGGATGACGCTGCGTACTTGAGTATTAAGCAACTGTTCCATACCAAAACCAGGATTGAAACACCAGAAATTTATAATCTTTGCTGTCTTCGAGACCGTGGTGGCTGCATTGTTGCCTTTGCCTAGCCAGCCGGTTTGTTTGATGTTGCTGTTGCCCGCGGGCTTTGACTGTTTATTGTCCTCAATCTGCACATGGACCTTGAAGCTTCGATGCACTTTGGCCATGACATCCTCCTTGTTGGCAAACACAACGTTAAGCAGATCGCTGAGCACCATAAAGCTGCCCCCCTTGCGCAGCATCGAGTGTTGCGAGGCGACCATGAGGTATTGCACCAGCTTGTCCAACAGGGCAACGATTGTGGCGCAGTTGCCATAGGTAAACTGCAATTTGAATTGGGCATAAGGATTAGCTTTTCAGATGCTAGTGTACCTTACATTTGCCTTGCCGAGCAGCTCGTAGATATGGGCAGCTGGAAAAGTGGTGCCTTCGACTTGGTTCTCGACGACAACGCCATCGATGGACTTCTCCAGCTCCAGCAGCATCTCCTTGAGCAGCGTTAGATCGTCCAATGTGAAGTCTTTGGGCTCTTCGGGACCGCCTGAATCTTGGGAATCGGCGCTGGAGAAGATTTTCATTATGTGAGTTACATCCTCAATGGCCATGGCCACGTCGGAAGAGCGTATCTGCACAGAGGCGGACTCCTCACAGATCTTCTCAATGTTATGTGCCTCATCCAGTATGACAATTGTGTTGCTTAGCTCGATTTTGTTGGCTTTGCGCGCTTTTGGGTCCAGCAAGTAATTGTAGGGCATGAATGTGATGTCTGCACTGCTAACCAGCTCCTTGGAGGCATAATATGGGCACATCTTCAAACGCTGCCCAACCTTGATCAGATCTTCAATGTCCATGATGCTGGGTCCACGAAAATCGGGATGATCCTTTTTGGACTCAACGCGCAGCTGAAACGAGCACGTCTTTGCGTGCACCTTCAGCCTGCACATGTTAACCTTATTCGAATTACCCTGCTCCTTCATCACATCCGGATGTATGCAGAGCTGGTCTCGTGAACCAAGTACTACGGATCGCATACTGGCATAGGCGGTACGCTTTAGTTCCCGCATCGCCTGGTTAAGCTGGGAGTGGGTGCGCGATGCATAAATCACCTTGGGCACACCCCAGTTATTTGCTTTACCCATGGCCAAAGCTAAATCAGACATAGCTCCAGTTGCAGATCCTCCTGTTGTCTGCCTCTGTTGCTGTTCCATCTGCACCTTTTGCATGTTGAGCTGGTGCTCGGATTGACGTGTGCGTATCCAAGCGAGCGAAGAACACAGCAAACTTAACGTTTTACCTGTGCCGGTCGGTGATTCCAATACGCCGTTGGTGCCATCGCGCAGGCACATAATCACCTTTTCCATATAGGCGCGCTGCACCTCATATGGCTCGAAGGGGAAATGCACCGGTATGCCGGCAATAATATTCTCTGGCATTGCACTTAAATATGTCTAAAACACACAATTCTTTATTCCCGGTGTTTACTGTTTACTTTGCGTCGAGTTCGCGCGCCAACATAAAAATTTCACATGTGCTGTGCATTACAAACGACCCTGTTTCATTGTCGATTACATTTTTCTGGATTGTCGCCTGCGGTGAATGTGTTACAAAAACAAGTAAATGTACCTTTAATAACGTAATTTATTGGTTTATTGTTCAATTAATTTTTATTTCAAAAATATATATTTCCGTTAAAAATACTACTTACTCGTTGACTGCGCTTTTTAGCGAAACGTACAAAACGAAAATAATAAGAACTCAAACCAACTCTGTGCCATTGTGATAAGCAACAGCCCTGTCTATTTATCGACTTATCGATATATACGAAAAATAACAACAATCGCAGCGGCTCAGTTAGTTTTTTACTTTTGAACTGAGAGGTTGGTTGGCCAGCGGCGCCAAAGTAGAAGAAGCAGATGCAATAGCAATAGAAACGGCAGAGGCGACAACTCGGAACGCAACGAGAGTGACGGCCTCAGTGTGTGTGTGTGAAATAAACTTACCCGCCTGCTGAGATACTACAAGTAAACATACAAATTGCTACATACATACATACATGCCACCACTGGTCGTCGTATCGTGGTCGTGTCGTTTCGTCGGCTCGACTGTCGGTCGGTCGTTTGCGCCATCGTCGTCGTCATCACAGTCGACAGTCAGTCAGTCAGTTGGCGAGTGGATTGGTTGGTTGGTTGGATGTTGGGCTGGTTCGCGCGGTGGGTTAGCGGGGGCAACTGCTTGGATGAGCGAGCGCCAAAAGAGAAGAGCAGTGAGCGTGAGAGCGTGCGTGTAAAAGTTGTTTGTGTGCTACGGGCTATGCACCTTAATACAGCTGCACACATACATATTATTCGTGTATATGTATGCGCCTTTCTTAACTGTGTATGAGTGCGTGGCTATGGTCGTCGGTTTAAGCGCGCGCGGCGAAGGCGGTGATAAATTTTTGTTGGCACAAAGTAAAATATAACTGAAAAAAAAAATTTGCTCTAAACAACACTACGCGCTACTCCCCTCCAACACCGTTCGTTTAAGCGAAGATATAACAACAGTAACTGAATATTCCCGATAGAAAAAAAAAAACAATAATATGAGTATTTGTTTAGGTTATTGCCAGCAACTCATAATTAATCGGCTGTGCCCCGCTCTTTCGGGTTGCAGTTGCCGTGTTGAGTTAACCCGACCAGTTAAAGTAGTAGTAGTAAATAGCTCAACTTATGTTTTAGTGCTTATGTTGTACCACTCGACTCTCACCAAGATGAAGATGATGATGCTGCTGCACGTGTGTGTGTGTGTCTTGTGTGACTGTTTAAGAGAAAGATTGTGTGTTGCTGTGCGCTTGTGACGTTGCGAACACAACCATAATTATTGTTCTTCAAGTGCTATTAACGCCGCACAAAGCAACTACACCCACAATCAGCTTGAAATCATAGACACGATAATACTTGAATGCTTGGCGCGCTCTCTACATAATCGGGTGCAACGTTGCACTGCATGAATCGTCGATCGATAGACGATAAATGCATTAGTTAGTCCCACTGCCACATGCAAATTAGTTTTCGTCCGTGCTCATGTTACATTTAAAATTAAGGTCAGTCTAATCATGTTGATTGTCCAATGATGAGCGAACCGCTTCCCTCCGCTGCGCTCATGGGCACTTAAAATTACACTTCATTAGTGATCCTTTGTAGCAAGGTCATTGCTCATATGATGTTATTGATGCTCTTCAATTCAATCAATTCGTAATAAAGTTAAAAGACATTAAATCGAAGCGGCATGCTGGGATGCGTTGTGCCATTCAAAAAGAAGAAAAATTGCAGGAGTACGTCCAACACCCCTCCCCACCATCATTGTTGTGTTACCTTGCTGCGTTTACAGCGTTGCCACCAGCAGTAAATGCTAATGTTATCGTTTATTTGAAAATTCGGAGTAAGCTTGCGTTAGAAATTAATAATGCAATAAGTAATTCGGTGTGACCCATTTGATAATTATATCCACGTGCTCGTTTTTGGTTACTTGCAAACATCTGCTTACATAGTCCATTGTGTATTCTGTTTGATGTCTGGCAACTCTGCGCTGCGCCACTGAGCGTGAATGTAGTACACGCATGTAATACGCTTGCATGTGTTTGTGTGTGTGTGTGTGTGAATGAGTGCTCCTATTCAAATAGAAATTGAGTGCTTTGTACTCGAAACTCAGTCAATTAGTCGCCAGAAGGCGGCGGCAGCGATGACAACGTCAAATGCAGGCTCGTCGATAAGAAAATATATTTTTTAGCCGCGCGTCATTTTACATTCCTTTGAAATACATTGTTCGCTGACCTGTTCTGAAATCTTATAAAAAGCAAAGAGGAGGTAATTTTGTATTGCTCTAACTTTTTTCTTCTAACGAGTGCGAAACGTTTTAGATAATATCCGAATATTTTTCGTCTGCCTTTGGCCAGTTGTTGCTGCCAATTAGAGATGCGTGCGTGACCGTGACGTGAGACGATCGTTAAAGGCGATAGTGAAAAAAATATTTGCACACGTGTTTGTGACACGATCTGAATTATATATATCTTTGCGTTTGTGATTATGACTGATATGCTTCATATATTCATATATAAAAGCTTGAAAATTCATTGTGCATTTTTGAAAAGAAGGCCTTGATAATACAATATAATTTCTGATATGGGTGTAAATTTTGAAAGCATCAGAAATATGAGCATTCATAGGTACACACATACTTAACAAAAAATTAAAAATTAAATAAATATTATTTCTATAAATATGTATATATATAAATTTAAATGTATATCAGTATATATATATATATATATACATATATATATATATATATATATATATATATATATATATATATATACATATATATATATATATATAAGTATGTATATGTAAATACATAAACACACACTTATCACTGATCGTGGAACTCACGAAGAATTAATCAATGCTCTGACACTAACGCTCATCTCTAATGCCAACAGAGAACGCAGCCCCAACCGCGATCGCATACTAGCCAAGTTTAGATAGACTAAATGAATGACTTTTATAGAGCAGCCGAAATAACTGGCTGTGGCAAAGGCGCATCGGAGTCGATTTTCCGTTGTCATATAAATTTGTGACAAACCTTTTTTTTTATTTATTTTTTTTTTTTTGTTTGTTCCTAGAACCCAGTGAAGTGGGGATGCTCATGTAAGGCGGCAGCTAAAGAGAGAGAGAGAAGATAAGAAAAGAGAACAAGCGATCGAGCTTTGAAATCGCAGCCAGAAGCTCTTAAGGCAAAATTAGCACATTTGTTGTCCAAATTGTGCGTTTTTTTTGTTTGCGAGAGTGTGTGTATGCGCTTCAGTTCCGTTTACTTAAGCATTATCAGTGATTGCGAAGGTGATAGATGTATACATATGTATGTATATACATATGCGTGTCTCTCTCTCTTGTGTGTTTGTGCCTGTGTGTGTGGATTACAAAACTAAGCTATAAACGAATTGTGTATCAATTGTTTATTGTCATTCCACAGTGCGTATGCGCAACATACGAAGTGTAATTGACTGATATTTGTATTCCTTTCTCTTTCTTAACATTTTCTTCTGTTTTTTGTCTTGCGTTTCGTTGCAGAGTTTGGTCATTTTCAAATCCAAATGTCAGCTGTTTCACGCAACATGTATTATAAAAGCGGAACAGTGAAACGAAGAAAAAGAGCAAATCGCTTAAGTCCAGGACAACAGGAGGAAGAAGCACGCTGCTAGCAACCACTGAGAGAGGGAGCGGCAGCAATATTTTCAAGAGAGCTGTACAAGAAAAAAATCAAAAACTACAGCAACAACAACAAATACACACTCATACACACACCAAAAAACCAACTGCTGCAGCAAACACTAAAACAACAACAACAACAAGTGTTGGAGAAGACTTATATTCAACAGTCACTATTTAAAGAAGAAGAAGAAAAAGAAGAAAAAAGAAGAGGACTCTAGACAACACACCCGCAACTACAACTACTCTCAATTACACAGACATATACATAGGCTCTCTTGCTCGCTCACTTACTCACTCACAAACTGAAGCTCAATTGCGCTCAAATTAACTTACTAAAGCGCAAAAAAAACGGTAAATGAAGTTTACATTTAATGCGTTTGCTAATCACCCCGCGTTTGCGTGTTTGTGTGTGTGGGTTTATATGTGTGTATGTATGTATGCGTTTTGTGTGATTGCGGTTTCTTAAATTTATTTATTTTTTGTTTGTTTTATTTTTTTTAGATTACTTCTAATATATTTTCATTTTATTTTAGGTTGGCCAAAGAGTGTTGGGCGCAACGGCATAGTAGTGGGTGTAGACGTGGGTACTGGCAGTGGGCAGCCATGACAATCATACTCTTCCTGGTGGACACCTCGTCGTCCATGTGCCAGAAGGCGTATGTGAATGGTGTGCAAAAGACATATTTGGACATAGCCAAAGGTGCCGTCGAGACGTTCCTCAAATATCGTCAACGCACTCAGGATTGTCTAGGTGATCGTTATATGCTGCTCACATTCGAGGAACCGCCGGCAAATGTGAAAGCCGGCTGGAAGGAGAATCATGCCACATTCATGAACGAGCTGAAAAATCTACAAAGTCACGGTCTCACCTCAATGGGTGAATCACTGCGCAATGCCTTCGATTTGCTCAATTTGAATCGGATGCAATCGGGCATCGATACCTATGGCCAGGGCCGTTGTCCTTTCTATTTGGAGCCATCGGTTATTATCGTGATCACTGATGGCGGACGCTATTCGTATCGCAATGGTGTCCATCAGGAAATCATATTGCCGCTCAGCAATCAAATACCAGGCACCAAATTCACTAAAGAGCCATTCCGCTGGGATCAGCGTCTGTTCTCGCTCGTCCTCCGCATGCCGGGCAACAAAATTGATGAGCGTGTCGATGGCAAGGTGCCACACGATGATTCACCCATTGAGCGAATGTGCGAGGTAACTGGCGGTCGGTCATATCGTGTGCGCAGCCATTACGTGCTCAATCAGTGCATTGAGAGCCTGGTGCAGAAGGTGCAGCCGGGTGTTGTATTGCAGTTCGAGCCAATGCTGCCCAAGGAGTCGAGCGGCAGCAATAGCAATAGCAGCAGCAGCGGCAACAGCAGCACCAGCAGCGGCAACAACAACAGCAGCAGCGGCAACAGCAACAGCAGTAGCAGCAGCAATAACAACAACAGCAACAGTGGCGGCTCCAACAGCAACAGCTCTTCAGTAACGACATCCACCACAAATGAGCCAACCCCGGATATAGTCTTTCAGCCGATCAAAAAGATGATCTATGTGCAGAAGCACATTACGCAAAAGACTTTTCCCATTGGCTATTGGCCGTTGCCGGAGCCCTATTGGCCCGACTCAAAGGCAATCACCTTGCCGCCACGTGATGCACATCCCAAGTTGAAAATACTTACGCCCGCCGTCGATGAGCCGCAGCTGGTGCGCAGTTTTCCTGTGGATAAATATGAAATCGAAGGATGCCCGCTGACGCTGCAGATACTCAATAAGCGGGAGATGAACAAATGCTGGCAGGTGATCGTCACCAATGGCATGCACGGGTTTGAGCTACCGTTTGGCTACTTGAAGGCGTCGCCAAATTTCAGCCAAGTGCATCTGTACGTGCTGGCGTACAACTATCCGGCATTGCTGCCACTGCTGCATGACCTCATACACAAGTACAACATGAGTCCGCCAAATGATCTCATGTATAAATTTAATGCCTATGTCCGGTCTATACCGCCCTATTACTGCCCGTTTCTACGTAAAGCTTTGGTCAACATCAATGTGCCGTATCAGTTACTGCAGTTCCTGTTGCCGGAGAATGTGGACAACTACTTGTCGCCGACGATAGCGAACCAATTGAAGCACATCAAAAACACAGCCAAGCAGGATCAGGAGAATCTTTGTTTAAAGGTGTACAAACAGTTAAAGCAACCAAAGCCACCCTATCGCCAAGTGGAAACGGCCAAGCTGTGTACGGGTGCGGCACTGCGTCGAGACTTGGTGCGCCATCCGCTGTTGCGTGATACGTTTGCCAAGCTCCACTCGGAGATTGAGCCCGTGGAGAACTATACGATTGTGGTGCCGCAGCTGACGCATCAATCGTCCGCAAAGACGTATCGCAATCCATTCGATATACCCAGGCGAGATCTGGTGGATGAGATAGCGCGCATGCGCGAAACGTTTATGCGACCCGCCAGCCTGGTGGCCAAGGATTCGGGCCATTGTTTGCCCATTGCCGAAATGGGCAACTATCAGGAGTATCTCAAGAACAAGGATAACCCGCTGCGGGAAATTGAGCCGACGAATGTGCGCCAGCACATGTTCGGCAATCCGTACAAAAAGGACAAGCATATGGTCATGGTGGATGAGGCCGATCTCAGCGATGTGGCACCCATGAAGGCCAACAACAATTCGAATGGCGGCAACGGCGGCAACTCGCCCTCAGCCGGCGGCAGCGGCGGCAGCTCTGGTGGCATGGGTCCAGTTGGCGGCGGCGGCATGTCCGGCTTGATGCTGGGCGGCGGCGGCGGCAATGGATTGGGCGGCCCCATGGGCCCCATCTCTAAGAAGCTAGAGAGTACATCACGTGGACGCAAGCGCAAAGCGGGTCCATTGCCGCGTGCCTATGAATTTCGCCGCATGTCCGTGGACTCGTTGCGCAGCGCCAGTTCCAGTCCCAGCTCGACAGCTGGCGGCTCGGCTAGCAGCAGCGTGTCGGAGCTGCAGCTCGATGAGGACAGCAACAGCAGTTATGCCTCCGAGGCGTCCAACAGTAGCATCGGCATCGGCAATAACAGTAGCAACAGCAACAGCAGCAGCAGCATCAGCAGCAGCAGCAGCAACAGCATCAGCATTGCCAGCGCCAGCAGCGATTCCGGCATGTCGCTTGGCCCGCATACGCCGGAACGCATGAGCTTTGATTTCAGTGAGGAGGAAGTTAGCGACCAGGAGACGCCACTCAATGGCTACGTGCACAACTTTATCAACGGCATCAGCGATGAAGAGCGCGCCAATGAAGCGGACAATAACCCCAGCACCAGCAGCAGCAGCAGCGGCAGCAACAGCAATGTTAACAGCAGCAGCATCAGCAACAGCAGTGTGATTACAAGCACTAGCAGCAGCAGCAGCAGCAGCGTGATTGTTTGCCCTAACAGCAACATAGCGGCAGCAGCTGTGCCAGATGCGATGCCGCCAACGGCCAGCAGCAGCAGCAGCAACAGCAGCAGCAGCAGCAGCAATAGCATATCAGCAATTGTTGCTGCCAGCAATGGTGCGCCTGAGCTAAGCAGCAGCAGCAGCATGAATCACAGCAGCGGCAGCAGCAGCAGCAACATCAACAATGGCAGCAACAGCAGCGGCAGCAGCAGCAGCCATCATCACAGTGCCTGTAACAGCAGCAGCGGCGTTTTCTATTTGCCACTCAATGGTTTAACCATGCAGCATGCGGCATATAGTAGCAATGCGGGCGCCACGCACACGCCCATGGACAATTCGTTGCATATGCTGGAGGGTGCAACGGCAATGCATAAAGTTGGCGGGGGCGTGGCAGCCATGCCGCCACTGTTGCTAGTGCCCAATGGTTATCCCAGTCAGCACGCGGCAATGTTGTCGCCACCGCCAGTGCCAGTGGCAACAGCAGCACTAGCTGCATCTGCAGCACCAGCAGCAGCAGCCGCAACGACAACAGCTGCGGCAGCTGCAGCAGCAGCAGTAACTACCAGCAGCAACGCAACAACAACAACATCAACGACAACAGCAACAACATACTTTAGTCATAATGATATCAATGATGCCTCCGAGATCTCGCGCATATTGCAAACCTGCCACAATGGCAACAGCAGCAGCACAATCAACAGCAGCAACAACAACACCAGCACCAGCAGCAACAACAGCAACAACGGCAACAGTAGCAGTAGCAATAATTACCTGGTAAACGGCTATCGCATTGATATGGATCCCATATCGTGGAATTGTTTTGATGCCTTGAAGCGCACAACCGGCGGTAGCGGCAGTGGCAGCAGCAGCAGCATAACAACTCCCAGCTGGGGCAGCTGGGGTAGCGGCTTGACCAACAATAACAACACTATCAACACCAATAGTAGCGGCGGCAATAACAACAGCAGCAGCAGCAGCAGCACTAACAACAGCAACAGCAACAACAACACAAATCATAGTCGAGCTTACAACAATAGTAGCCCCAAGCTGGAACCCAAAGCATCGCCGACGCATGCAAGCAGCAATAACAACAACAACAACACAGTCAGCAGCAGCACCACCAACAGCAACAACAATAGCAGCAGCAATGGCAGCAGCAACTGCAACAACGACAACGGCGACATCCTCAATTCACCGGAATGCATCCTGAGCGAAGATCAGCGCGAAGCAGCACGCAAACATAATATCGATTTGCGTTTGCAAGTCTTTCGTGATATACGACGACCCGGTCGGGACTATAGCCAGCTGTTGGAGCATTTGAATATGATGAAGGGCGACCAGGAGATGAAATCCGACTTTATAGATATGTGCATCAGCGAATCGATGCGCTTCCGGCGCCACCAAATGGTCAACAGCATTCAGGAGTGGTGGGAGCGCAATCAGCAACAGCTTGAGGTAACAAAGAGTTAACGTTGGCTGCTCTGGAACTGAGCGTGCAACACCAGCTGCGGCAGCAGCAGCAGCAGCAACAACAAAAACAACAACTTGCAACAACATACAACTTGTCTGTGATGTCAACAACAAACAACAAACAACAACACAAAAGCTAAAGCAGCCGTTAACGGAACATCAGTGTTAGGTGTTAGATTAAGCTATATATACAAACATATATAGTGGCTAGAAGATCTATGCTAAAATCCTACGATTATAATGCATTCGCAGCAGCGCGCCTGGCGAAACCAGAAATAATCTATATATATATATATATATGATATATATATAGATATATATATGGTACGTCAATTTCCACAGTAAAAGTGCAACAACAACTGCACACACATGCAACACACACACATTTGTATATAGCGAAGTTGTCGTGAGAAAGTTTTCTGTGTCGTGGGGTTTACATTACTCTATATATTACATATTACACACATATATATATATATTTGTGTGTAATTAATTTGTTTTTTTTTTTGTTAGGGTTTGTATAGGGCTGTATTTATATAGTTCTTAAGCATAAACAACAACAACATTTAATATTTAAGCATAAAAAACTTTAACTTTAGTAACATTACGTGTAAAGTTAAAGAATACAGATATATATATATATAGTAAACAGCAAAGAATTAAAAACAAATTGTAGCGCATAGTTTATATAATTAGTTATTAGTCGATTTAGTCTTTAGCCTAATAACTGTATTAGCCACGTAAGCAAAAACAAAAAAAAATTGAGTTCAGTTCGTAAAGCCTGCTAATAGAAAACCAGAAAAATAAAAAAAAAAATAAAAATTTAAAATTATATATGCATATATTTATATATATATATACATATATATATATATATATATATATATATATATATATATATATATATATATATATATATATATATATATATATATATATATATTTATATGTGTAGGATTTAGGCTTAAGCATAAAAAACAAAATCACATTTAATGTTTATTTTAATTAATTAAACAAAAGGAAAAAATAACATTTTCTATTGTAATACCGCGTTCAACTTTTAATTTTTATTTTAAATCTTTTTTTTTTTTTTTTGTTTATGATTGATTTGTACGTCATTGAATTTTTTTTATTATTATAAATAATAATTGATGCTGTTTTTTTTTAATTGTATTTCGATTGTTGTATTTAGCTGAAATTGTCTAAACTAATGATCTAAGCTACAGACTATATATATATATGTGTATATATATATGTATATATATATATATATATGTGTATATATATGTATATATATGTATATATATGTATATATATGTATATGTATATATATACATATATATATATATATATGTATGTATAGAATATGTAGATATATACATATACATATTTTAGGCGAAAAGTTTTTCATAACTTTTTTAACACTTGCTTTAAGTTTGATTAGTTTTAGTTTGTACGCAACAACTAAAACATTTACACATACACACACACACTATATATATATATATATTTATATATATATATATATATATATATACATATATATATATGCATATATATTTACACAAATACATTACATGCATATAACATATATAAACAAATTGAGAAAATTGAAAAGAAATGTTTTTTTTTAAACACAAGCATTTTGTTATCGATAAATTTTCATTAATTCCGATTTGTGCGCTTTGGCATACTGGCCCAACATAAGTTTTACCGTTAGAGTGTGGCCTATTTTGTTTGCGTCGTTTTTATTTCTGTTTACTTTTTAAGCAGCTTTCTTTGTTTTTACTATTGAAACATATGTTGGCACAAACCTAAAACCAACAAAGAGGCAGCTCAACGTTTGTCTGCAAATATGAATAAAAAATTACATAAAATAATAATACTTACAATTAATCATTTTTGACAGTTCTTGCATTTGATATGAACTTATGATTTTTGTTGCCTCTCATACACAGTCCCGACTCATCACGGCAGCCCCGCCCATTCAGAGACGCCAATGTATGATATGAATGTGCCCCTGTGCCGTCCCTTACATCTCTATTTCTCCCCCTTTCATCATTTACTATTTGCACATGAAATTTCATTAACGGTTCTTTATTTTTTAGCGATAATTGATAGAAATACAAATTGTTAACCTCAAAATTGGTATTTGGATTAGTATTGTTTCTATATCCTAAAAAGTTTTTAAGTTTTCATATTTAATTCATTCGAAGTTTTCAGGGCTTGGTAATATAAATATATTTAAATGTTTGAGGTTATACTTCTAAGATTATCAAAAAACGCAAGCAATAACAAGCTACCGGCTTAAATACAAAATAATTATTAGCACGCGGAATTGTGTACTTCAATCAAGTTTGCTATAGTTTTTGTTGTTGTCAATGTTTAAACTGTTAAATGACATTTAAAAAATCGAAATACATATAGCAGTTTTATTTGTCAAAAATCGTCAACAAAAGCCAGCTGATTCCAATCGATTACTAGTTCATTGGTGCTGATAAGCTATCGAACATGCCTTTCTTGAATTGTTTCACAACGTATTTAACAATTTTTTGTTCACAGATAAATTTTAAATAAATCAAATGTGATCTTAATAAATAGTTGCATAATAAGAAAAAATATATATCATTTTATTTGGTAATTGGTTCGCATGTTCGGCGTGTGCCACAGCGTTGCCATTTGGTTACGAGCCGCTTACCATTCAGTTCGATAATGAACGGGCCCCGAGGAGTCAGTTCATTTGTACCGTTCAGTTCATCTAGCAGTCACCTAATGGACGAACCCAGCACTAGCGCCTGACAGTTGTTGGGCGAGTGGCAAAGGCAAAGGCGAAAGAGGCGAAAGCAAAAGTGAATTAAGGAAAGCAGAAGCAATATGCAAAATTAATGTGCGCAACGCACGTTGTTTGCTGTTAACTGTTTAATCGCAATGCAAACTAAAACCGATTGCATTTGCTAGCCTATAACACGCACTCACACACACACATAAAATTCATTTATCAAACGGCGTGTGATACAGATTTCTGTTGCAGTTGCAAGTTACTACGATTTGCAAATTCCCGTGTTATTTATTATTTTTTTTTTGTGTATGATTTGCGGAAAGTAAAAGTGGCTACCGTAGCCGCCTGCCTTTGCCTGTATGTGTATTTGTGTTCGTCTATATTATATTCATGTTCGTTCGGTTGCGTTTGTGTGTGTGTGCGCGCGCGAATGTTTGTGTGTAAAAAGAAGTTGCAAAAATACAAAAGTTACGCAAAAACATAGCAAAATTGTGTAAAATAACAACACCAGCCGCCTGGCAGTGTACGTGTGTGTGTGTGACTGAGTCTGCTTGCGTGTGTGGGTGTGTAAGCGTGCGTGTGTGTGTGTGTTGGCTGTGCTCTTCTTGGAGCGCAGCGTACCGGCTGCACAGAAATGAGCGAAAACAACGGCACTAGCGGCACCACCATCACAGCCGCCAATGGACCGCGAATCGTTACCATCTACAAGACGGAAACTGGCTTTGGCTTCAATGTGCGAGGACAGGTGTCCGAGGGCGGCCAATTGCGTTCAATCAATGGAGAGCTGTACGCTCCGCTGCAGCATGTTAGCGCTGTGCTGGAGAACGGCGCCGCCGAAAAGGCGGGCATCAAGAAAGGCGATCGTATACTCGAGGTGTAAGTATATCGATCTTAGCCCCACTGTTCGTTAATGTCAATAATGAAAAATAAAAAATATAATTCAAAAACGAGAAAAAATAATGAAAAACAAGCAAAAGCGATACTTCAAGGAAGTTTCATGTTTGACCTGTTTGGCCATGCCCCGCCCCGCCCCACACCGAGTGAGTGAGAGCAAGCGAACGACCGAGTGAGTGTAGCCCACCCACAAAACGGCTCCACTCGAAATGGAAAAGAAACTTAAAACTGCCGCTTGGAAGTCCTGGAATCAATAAACACTGCTTAGTGTATGTGTCCGTGTGTGTGAGAGAGGGCTGTTACTGAAATTTGCCGTCGTCATATCTGGCAACCGTTTGTTGCTTCTTCTTCTTCATGTTGAGCTTCTTACTATTTTTGTTTTTGTTATGGCGTAATATTTGTGCCATTGTTTGGCTACACTTACATGCAAACATTCACACTTGCGTTGTATGCGCGCACCTACACACATACAGACACACTCACTCGCACATATATACACATACACGCGCGCCCACAGAGCAAGCTAATTAAAATGTTGCCTTCGCTCCCTCTCCCGCTCTGCCTTACTGTTCTCTGTCACTCCACTCAGACGCTCATTTTATATGCTCTCTCAGCCCACTGGCTCTCATTTTTTTGTTTCTTTTTTTTTGCAGTCTGTTCTTTGCTAAGCTTTTTGTTTTGCATCTTTGACATTTTGTGTTATCGTCGCTCAGCCAAATGCTATCAATCAAAGCATGTTGCAAATAATTGAGTTTTGTGGTCGCCCATGCTGTGATAACCTTTTCAGCTATACCCTTCTCGCTCTCACTGACTCTCTGCCTCTGCCTCCACCTCGACCTCTAGCTCTTTGACAGCTGCGGAAACCTGCGCACAAATTCAATTAATAAATTTAGCTATTTTGTTGCGCGGCGGATAACAACTTAATTATCGTTGGCATCGCGCCTCCCGCACCTCCCATTGCCACCCAACAATTCACCCAATGCACATAACTGTGTCTGTCGCGCCCCTCGCCCCTCGCCCCATGCGAGCACACGCCACAAATTGGCAAATGTTTATTTTTCATATAAACTTTTTTCTCTTTTTTTCGCACTTTTTGCTGCGGCACAGCTGGTAGCACGTTATTGTTGTTACTGTAGTTGTTGGGTGGCCCATCATTTGGTTATGAACTGTAGCAAGAAAAACAATTACAGTTATGATTTGGTCGCACGTGTGCAAACAAAGCAACAGTAATCAGAGATTGACAAACAATCAAACGGGGAGTTTTTTACTCAATTTTTTATTTTATTTTTGTTTTATTTTCTTTGACGCGTATAATATATATGATAATAGCTAAAAGCGCAGAGTTAAGTGGTGTATTAAAATTGAACCAGTTCAAATGAAAGTTATGTCTTGTTCTTTTAAGCTAAAAAATTAATATTTATAAAAAAGAATGAAAATTAAAATAAAAAATTGACCTTTTTTATTGTTATATTTGGAGCTAAGTTCGCTCGTGAGCCTGTTTAAGAATTCTATAAATACAGAATTGAAATGGAAAAAATTGTATTATTTCTATTCCAATTATTTCATTTTTTTAAATTATCTATTTTCGCTCATATTCTCAGATTTCTAGGCAGGTTGTCAGCCACCAGTCAAATTTGACATTCCCGGATTAGACAGAAATGTTACAAATTCATTTCATTTTTTTGCTCTTACTAATTTTTACTCATTTTGTTTACGTATTATTACTATATTTATAGCTATTTCTGACATGTTTGTTTACGCTTTGATAATAGTTTGCATTGATATGCGAGTATACGTATATATATATATATATATACATATATATATAATTGTGTAGTTGTTTGTTCCTTACAATTATAAATGACGCTGCTTTTAAGCGGTACCTTGATAATGCCGTCTGCTCATCTATAAACTATATATATATTGAATTATATGTAGATATTGAGAATGGTTAGCTGGCCATCAGCTGGTATTTTATTGCCTTAGTTATTGCAATGTAATTTGATTCTCTTCCGTTCTTTTGAATTTAGTTCAGTGTGCCATATTTATCTTATATACACATATATCTATAATATGTTTATTTTTGCTTCAGTTTTTAAGCTCTTTTATATCGGATATGATTGGTTAGTGTCGAAATTACGCGAGACTGGGGTATATCTATATCAATTTGCCTTGGATCATATAACCCATCAGTTTATAATACTTCATTGTAGTCTTTTATCAAAGTAATTGCAAATCGCATATAACTATTGTATAGCTCAATTAATTGAATAAAATTATTTCAGTATAAGCATGTTTACATATGTTTTCATTCCTTGAGCTTTGAGTTATATTGTAATAAGCACAAAATGCCTTCGTTATAAACTAACTCATTAGTAATATTACTTATACATATATATATATATTAACATATGCATGTATAAAGAAATGCTGCATATCAAAATCAACATTCTCTAATCTTTTACTTATTGAATTCTGAATATTTATTTATAGAATTGCATTAAAGTAGTATTCATTAATTTAAAGATTTGTTTTTGTTTATTATGATTTCTCTAGCAGTTGTGTTTGCCCAGCCCTGTGTTCGTTCAGCCCTGTTTTGAATCTCTCACACACGTTCTTCTTTTCCATTAACTCTCACTCTCGCTCGGTCTCTCTTGCTCTTCCACTCTCTTTTTCGTTTGCGTTGGTTTCGAGGGGCGTATTTTGTTTTCTTATTTCTGTTGCCGGTTGGCAACCGTTAATGACGCCTCTTCGCTTCCTCCACATCCGCCTGGTCAGCGTGCTTATCAACATTACGGTTTTGTTCCAGGGTGGCCGGCAGGGATAAGGTTTGGGGTGTATAGGGAGGTGTGTGTGTGTATGAATTTTGTCGCTCATTGTTTATTCATCAAAAAAAGTGCTTTGTAAATAATTGCTGCTAATTACTCATAGATTGGGCCATAGATACGCGAGTAGACGTTGTACGCCCTTTGTAACGCCCACCGCCTGCTGTTGTTGCGGTTGCTGTTGCAGCCATTTGGTGGGCGCACTGTTGCACAGAGTGCCATTGCAACGCACGCAGTAAGGATCGTTAGCGGTGCACTCAGGCACCTCGCCTGCGCAGCCACGTACCGTATAGACCAACTGAAGCCGGCTAACTACGGTGCTCACACAGAGCTCGGCTGGGCTGCTGCAGTTGCTCAGCGCCATGGCGCTCGGCTGCTGCATGGCAGCGCAGTCCTCGCCATGTTCCTGCGAATTGCACCGATAGCAACTGCGCACCGACCAACGGTTGCAGCCGTCACTGTTGCGGCACAGCTGGCATTCCTCGCCGGTGCTGGCCACAAAGTCAGCATCCGCGCAGCCGCGACGCAGCAGCGTATCTGTGCAAAGAAAGAACAAGAAACTCATATAAAAGAGTGGACTCAACAAAAGAAACCACCTAAAGACAACCGGGCATAACTGTTATGCTAATGCGTTAAGTTGGCTTCGCGTGACTAATGGAAGTGTGTATGAATTTCAGGGCTGCAAGCAGCACAAAATAAGTCTCTGATTTTGTTGGCGCTGCGAACTAGTTCACTATTTTTATTTAGAAATCATGTCTTATTTGAGCAGGGTAATTTTCCCTTTTTATTCAAAAATTCTATGAACAGATCGAAGATACCGTACAGAGAGATTAATTGGAATTGAAAGAGGTGCTATACAAACTGGTTCATATTTTTTTCTTAGTTGAAACTGAACGAGTTTATTGAGTATAATTTTAGATTGGTTTATATTTGGATCAAAAATGAACTTAAGCATTAACAATTTGATTCATATTTGGAACTAAAAGAATAGCTTGGTTCTAATGCAAAAGTAAACAAATTGCTTTATCGATTGAGTTAAAAAACGGATATAAATGAGTTATTTAACGAAGACTAGTGGTTATTATTTGAAATTGTACAAATGAATCGCCAAATGTGCTTGGCTCATATTTGGAAGTTGTTCACATTAACGCAGCGCCTGACTCACCCTAACCTTGCTCGCACGAATAACAGGCCGTGGTGCCCGGGGCGCACTGTTCGCTCTTCAGGGCATGTCCGCTACGACAATTAGGATTGCTGGTGGAGTTACAGGTGGCGCAAGCAATATCCTGGCATTGGGCATTGCAATTGTCGCCATAGCACTCGTGCAGCTGACCTGAGGGAAAGAAGCCCATGGTAGTGGAGCAGCCGCGTTGCAGCACCTCCGTTTGGCTATTGTGATGCGTATAGCAGCGCTCCCGATGCCCGAACATCACCTTGTTGACGCACTGCGTCACAGTTGCATTGGACAGCTCACATTTGTTGGGCAACTCGGGCAGCTGTTCGCGCTGGCAATCGGGATTGCCCGACAGACGATTCGATGTGCACTGGAGACAGTGGCTTTCGCTGACCGTTAGCTCCGCATTGCAGCCATTGTAGTTGCACTTGAGGCAGACATGGGGGCAGTCCGCGGGCAGATTGGTGTGCTCACAACCTCGCTGCGTGTTGCTCAGGTGCAAAATGTTGGTGTAGCAGCGATCCTTCTCGTTATAGATGGGGCAGGGCAGCAGCAATTCGGGCCGTGTACTCACATCGATGCAGGTGGCGCCGTTGCACTGATAGCAGCGTAGGCGATCCGCTGGAAAGATGTGCCGATTGCAGAGACTCGTATTGCAGCGGTCGCAGGGCTCTGCACAGTAGCCGTTCGGATAGAGGCGATGCAAACAGCCGCGACGCGTGAGGCCCGCCGTTATAGAGGTCACACACTCATCATTCGATTGGCTGCACTCTTCCACCTCCAGCTGCTGGCCAGGCCGTGTTGCGCACTCAGCATCCTCGGCTGAGTCGCAGGCATAGCATTCCAGACCAACTACTGCCAGGAGCAACTGCATCATTGTCAAAGTCCATAACAATTGTCTTGCGCTCTGCATCATCTCGCAGCTGTTGCAACTTTTCGACTGTTCAACAAAGAAACGTCTGTGATTTGGGCTGAGCTCCAATTCCAGATTAGATTAGACCAAAGTCTATCATCAAGTGGTTCGTCCAAAATGGTCTTAGCTTCTTCATTGTTCCATTGTTTGATTTGATTTCATATATTATATATATTATCTGGCCGATCGAATTGATATGGTCATTTGTCTATATTAAAACAATTCGATATGTTGTCTAGACTTTTATATTCCCTAGGATTAAATTCCATTTGCCAATTTTGGCAACCTGAACCCGAACTACTTTATACCAATAATTGTGGGAATTTTAGTTTCTTATTTATAAGAACTCAATTGAGCTAAAACAAAGATTCCATCATATCTGACTGCAGATTCCATCTTATCTCAGACTTATTTTCTTTTCTCTTCCTGCTTACATTACTCTCAATATAATCCGTAATTTCTTTCTTTACTCCCAACAGTAATCAAGTTCTTTCAAAGTTCCTTAACCTCGTAAACCTCCTATAGAAAAGTGAAATTGGTGCCTTTAGTAGGTTGCTCAATTTAAGATTATATATTATATTATATATTATATATATATATTATATTATATTATATATATATATATTATATTATATATTATATATATATATTATATTATTTTTATCTTGTTTATGACTTTTCTTTTCTTTCTCCCAACAAGACTCGAACCGGCTTTACTTATACTAAATCTCTATGATAGTGCCCTAGAGCTAAGAGGATATATTCTAGAATTTTATTTTATTGTCTTTTTGTAACTTAAATTCGTATCAACTTTAATTATCCTAAGGTTCTTCAAAAATACATCTGGCATTCCATATATCTAGAATAAATACTCTACGTCTATATATAGTATATATATTTATATCTTTGTCTAAAACTCTCTCTGTCCTCCAATTCCTAAGCAGCTGCCCGCGCGAATTAGTTAGTCAAATACTAGATGCAAAAAGAGAACAGTAATTGCCTAACGGTACTATTATAAGGTATTATAAGTTGTAGATATCAACAATTTGGTATGCAGCGGCTCTAACAAAAAACACTTGCATAACACTCATTAAATCTAGGCTAAATCATAAAACTATTTCAGGAGAAAGGAATTTTTCTTTCTGAGTTGCAATTGGCTAGATTCGAGAATGTGTGAAATCAAAGTGGGTGTGCAGGTGTGTGTGGGTGTGCTTGTTACATTTAAGGTATTTTGCTAAGCTTTTTGAGGTTTTGCTTCTGTTGCACTTGCAATTTTTGAATGGTGCACGGTCGGGGCAGTGCAATCAATGGGGATTATGAACTATTTTCATTTCTTGTTTTTCGACGTGTTTCTCGTTAAAACATTTACGACAACAAAGCCATCCATTCATCCGCCCAGGCAACCCACTCACCACAACAACAACAACAACCAAATAAAGAACGTTAAACAAGAAAAAAATACATAAATTCAATAAGCTTAGGGTTGAACTTTAGTTAGTTGTTTTCCATGCCACAGGCGAGGGTATTTTTGTGCTTATACACTAGCACGCGCATGGGGCATATTGAATAATTCGAATATCGTTGTCGGGAAGAAACATTTTCGAAATATGTTGAAATTGTTATAGGCCAACACAAGTTTTTCTGTCCATTTACATTAGCAATATTTTATCGCTAGACAAGCAATATCTATATATGTATATATATACATCTTGATCAGGCATATAGCCAATGCGGCAATCCGGGCAACTATAGAATCTAGAGTCTTCAAGTTGGCATTCTAAACAGCTGCATGCCGTACGCAGTTGTTACTATACTTTGTTAACTCATGCGTTGAGCTATTATCATTATAATCATGATCATTACAATCAAATTTCATATTTGCTCGTCAGTTCTTGTAATGTGATCTCTACGGTGCCTTGAGCATAGATGCTTTTGATTTTGGATATGAATTTCCTTGCTTTTAAATTGTATAATCTTAAGCTTAAGCTTAACTGCCCATTTATTTGATATTAAGTAACAAAAATTAAGAAGGAAATGAAGGTCAGGGTGTCTTTCAAGTCGGCCACTCCCACCTTACTTTTGCCACTATAATATAGTTTATATGAGTCCCACATAAGTTCTATTTAATTCTCGGCATATTCACGTGTTAGTTTTAGACTCTAAACCATAAAACGTAAGACTTTATATATTTTGATGTTTGTTCAGGGTCTGTGGCTTAAAAGGCTTTGGGTTTGTTTAACTTTTCCTGTCGCTCTCTCTGGCTCTGCCTCTCTCAGTTTTACTGGTTCTCTAACAGTTTAAGGCTTCATTCGTTGTACGACATTTATTGAAGGTACATAAATAAAAGTTTTTCATTGAAGATATGTAGATTTTTAAAGAAAAGTTTTGATTCAAGGTAAGCAATATATTGAAGATTCGTTCACGAACTGGTTCAGCCTTAAACCATAAATGGATTGAAGTAGATTCTTGACAGAACTCTGTTTAAATACGATGCTACAATTCGAATATTTCCTATATCATGAATATTCTACTCTCCGGGCGTATGCCCGGGGAAGGGCATTCGCTCGTCGGCCAAGCTGAATTTTGTCTGTTTTGTTTGAATTTGTTTAATGCTACCACAAATTTTGTGTTTTTGTGGTTATGTGTTCCATGTTCTGTTGTTATTCTCATGTTCAAATTGTTGTTGTTGTTGCTGCTGCTCGGGTGGCATATGCCCCAAAAATAATCAATAGATTTGCGTCACTGGATTGGTTTCGCCAGAGGTAGGTGAAAGTGCTTGGTGGTTGAGCCGCTGGCTCTTGGGTTTAGCTGATGAGTTTTGTGGTTTCCGGGGCTTGGATTCACATTTAGATTTGGATTTGGGTTAAGGCTTAGAATTTCACCTTTTCCCCCTTTTTTGTTTTTGGCTTAAATTTAGTCTACCAATAGAAAACAAGTAAGAGTGCTCTAGTCGGGACTGCTCGACTAGCAGATACCCTAAACCCTGCGAACAGCTTTACTTTAGGTTACTAGATCTTTCCGCTCTTATAGATGAGCAGATCGACTCAGCGTGTCATCCTGATCAAGAATATATATACTATCAGTGATCTGCCACGCCTCCTTCTGCCTGTTACATAAATTTTCAGAAAACCTTTATACCCTGAATTCCTATTTTCAGTTGGTCCAGAGTAAAAAACCCAAAACAAAAACCGAAAATAAAGGCAACCAAAATAGTAATATTTCTGGAAATAAAGCAAACACATTTTTAGAGTGAGTGTGAGAGTCAGTGGAGCTCAAGACAGAGGAAGAGTAAGAGAGAGAGGGAAGATGGAGTTCTGTTCAAGTGCTGTCAGGTGGCAACGCTTTAATAAACTGTTAAGCGCTGTTGAATATGAAGCAATGAGTGAGACGAATATTGAGATATTCTTATAAATGTTATAACAAGTTGAGATCTGAGAACTTTCATTTATAGCAATCTGGTGGATATTAGATAGAAATATCCTAATTACTACATAGATATATTTGGTGCAATCTTAAAGCTCACTTTATAGGACTAGATGTCATTTATTTGTTATTTTGTATAAAATATTTCAGATATAGTTTATATATGTGAGAATTTGCTTATTTAAAACTTTGTCTTTTTTATTAAATTCAAACAAGTTTTAGCGCTTGTCTTTAGGTTCTACTTACAAGTTGGAACCTTAAATTTTACTCTGAATAGATCTATAAACCAATAGCCTTTAGCATCTAACGTAAGGGAATCGTTACTCTAAAGATTTTTCCTATCCTATGTATATGTATAACAGTATATATACATATATATACACAATAAAGGCTGTTTACTAACGCCAATTGAGCGTTAGATTTGCCTGGGACATTGTTAAAGTACATAAATTTGATTGACGTTACTTTTATGCTCAGTTTATTAAATTTGCCCTCGTTGCGGTATGAGCTCAATTGATTAACTAGCTAATCCCAGGTTTTAGATAATACACAATTTAATATAGTAAAATTTGAATTATTCTTTAGCTATAGACAATTCTGAAAGCCTTCAAAAGCCAACGAAAGCTTCTTTCAGATAGTTTAATTTTTGTTTCATTTAAGAAATATCTTTTTTTCTTTTGGTTTGTTTGCTAAATACTTGCAATTTGTAAATCACCTAAAAGCGTATATACATATGTATATATAGCCTATAATCTAAACGAAACATGGTAGATATACAATTAGTCAGCAAATGTAGTACACATACATCTAATTTTCAGGCTTTTGCTATACATTTGAGATAGAGATAGAGATAGACATAGAGATAGAGATAGAGATAGAGATAGAGATAGAGATAGAGATAGAGATAGAGATAGAGATAGAGATAGAGATAGAGATAGAGATAGAGATAGAGATAGAGATAGAGATAGAGATAGAGATAGAGATAGGATAGAGATAGAGATAGAGATAGAGATAGAGATAGAGATAGAGATAGAGATAGAGATAGAGATAGAGATAGAGATAGAGATAGAGATAGAGATAGAGATAGAGATAGAGATAGAGATAGAGATAGAGATAGAGATAGAGATAGAGATAGAGATAGAGATAGAGATAGAGATAGAGATAGAGATAGAGATAGATAGAGATAGAGATAGAGATAGAGATAGAGATAGAGATAGAGATAGAGATATATAGATATATAGAGATATAGAGATATAGAGATATAGAGATATAGAGATACAGAGATATAGAGATATAGAGATATAGAGATATAGAGATATAGAGATAGAGAGATAGAGAGATAGAGAGATAGAGAGATAGAGAGATAGAGAGATAGAGAGATAGAGAGATAGAGAGATAGATAGATAGATAGATAGATATATAGAGATATAGAGATATAGAGATATAGAGATATAGAGATATAGAGATATAGAGATATAGAGATATAGAGATATAGAGATATAGAGATATAGAGATATAGAGATATAGAGATATAGAGATATAGAGATATAGAGATATAGAGATATAGAGATATAGAGATA